TCATGATCACACATCCGCTGAGAAGGGAGGCCCTCTGCCCATCCTTGGTGTAGTTTGTCTCGTTAGCTTTGTGCAGTGCACATGATTTTTCCTGCGGTGTGGTTTACATTCATCAACCCAAACCTCGTGGTACGGTTTTTACGCTGACTGTGAGTGCAGTGTTCGTGATTTTCCCTGAGGTGTGATTTTCGTTCATCTGCGCAAACCGAGCGGTACAGATTTTTAGCTGACTGTGAGGAGCGGCAACTTAGTGTGGGGGCAGCAAGCATGGCGTCAAATGCTAAAAAAAAAAAAGGAAAAAGAAAAAAGGTTGCCCTAACTAAGGAAGTGGAGAAGAGAGGCCGAACGAAATCGAGCGTCGCAAAGAAATTCGGCATTCCTTTGTCTTCATTTTCGATGGTGCTGAAAAACAATCGGAAGGTGCTCGATGTATTTCAGAAGAGCTTCTCCAGCCAGAAAAAGCGGGTTCCAGGGTCAAAGTTCTCAAACTTTGAAGCGGCGTTGGTGGTATGGCGTTGAAATAAGGTCAAATGCGGCGGCATGAAAGATTGACTTATGCGAGGCGTCAAGCAGCTGGAGGACGCCTTTCTAGGTCTGAGTACAACCGCAAGCAGGCGAGCATTAGGCAGACTTTCTCTGCTAAGTGAAATGGCAGTGCTGCAAAACCCAGCCCGTTAAAGTCTCTCTTCTGCTATTTTTTTTTCTATTTTAAAGCTGCACAAGAAGGAGAAGGATTATACTGTTGCTGAAGAGCCGGTACATATTGTTATTTTTCTGAAAAGCTCTCATTTTTCCTGGCAATTAGCGCAGCTTTGCTTATCTCGAAATTTTCTCTGGTTTTTTCGACTTAGTTAACGAGGTATTACTGTATTTCTCAGTTTCTGTAAGTTTCCATCCTGGTAGGCTTGTGCTAGGAAATGAACTGAGATGGCAGAAAGGGAAGCTCACTCGTATGCTAGGCTGGTTTGCATCTTCATTCTTTTCGTTATCAAGGTCTGGCTAAAATCAGCCATGAACAGCCTAGAATACCGATACCTGTAGTCTTTAGCAGTTCACTCATGGCCATGTTTGCTTTTTACTTAGATGATCGCACAACTTCGGAGCATGCACAAAAATAAAAACCCCCATAGAAAAAAAAAAGAACAACAGGAAGGAAACTATCGGATGGTGCAGCAGCTTGTTCATAAACCGCATAGAATGTCTCAAAAGCATCAGCTTAAACCATCAATAGTGGGCTATTGATGCCCTAATGGACACGACTGGGATAAAGTCGGGCTATAATTACCACAGAAATTGCAATTGTTCGTGGATATTTTTTAGTGCAAGCTCGTTCGGTCAGGTGTTCAATAAGCAGGAACCTGTTGATATCAAAAAGCACTTGCCGAAAAGAAGTTGACAGCTCAATTTCGATTTCTTTTATCTCGATGCACAACAACCTGAAGCTCGGTAGACAACAACTGCAATCGGCAAATCCAAACAGCACAACAATGTAACACACTTTGTGCTGTGTGAGCCAATGGCATGTCATGCCCGCAAACTTGTTAATTTGCAAGCATGACCCTTGCCATCCTTGCCCACATTTGCGATCTTTTGGTGTCAATCGCTATGCTTCAACTGACTATTTCTCCGTCTCATGACGGGACTTGCACAAATCATTTTTGCCTTTTACTTCCTTCTCTTCTCCACCACCAAGATGCCTTCACCAAGATGCCATGCTCTATTTACAACGTGGGGAGAAGTAGCTGCAGCCAAGATGGCGGACCAGCAGCAAGAGCTTGGGAGCTTTTGAAGTTGTCGTCCTTGTCATCTTGCTCAAGCATTCTTTCATATTCGCGATGGCATGTAATAATATCTACTAGAATAGCTCAAACTGCTGGTTTAATTAACACGGCAGTGTTAAGGGGAGGTGCAGTGAGAAAAAAAAGGCTCCGTTAATCTGTAACCTAGGACAATGAAATTGTTGCTGTATTTATAGGCTTTTGTGCTGATTTCAAATATGTAGTTATGTTTTTATAGTAAGTTGCACACATTTAGTTTTATGCCAAAATAATCTGCAACGTATAGTAGTTGGTTTTGGAAACATTTATGGCTGTCAGCCATTAATTGCTTACATTACTGTACATTAGCTGTAGAATGGAAATAACTATCATGAAAGTGCATATAAAACATATTATTGGACATGAAAAATTGTGATGTGAGAATGCAACAGGGTTTTCATCCCATACTAATTGTGCACTTTGGGTTCACAGTAGCCATATAGGATGATATCAAATTTTAAAGGAGATGCTTACACTACTTACATGTTGAAGATTATGTGGGCAAAATTTCATCCCAATCGGGCTATCAGAAGTACAAAAAATAAAAGCTCTACACTCAAGAAGTTGCCTGAAAATGGATCTTGAGAAAAACTCATCTGCAAGGTGTAAGTGAACGCTCATCTATGCGCTAAAGGTATTTTTTTTAAGATGATTTTTTTCCACCACAAGAGCTTGGCAATCATGGTTGTTTTGAGCTTGTGGCTTTAGGGAACGGCTCAAGTGAAATCCAATGCAAGTAGCCAGGTGACAATTTCCAGAGGACTTTAGGCAATGAGTTCCTTTTAGTTTATACTACCCACTTTTTGCTTTTGAAAAGCGATTTAGGCCTACTTTGAGTTTAATTGAAACCGTAGTTTTTTTTGTGTGTGTTGCGAAAGTAGATAAACTGTACTTGTCAAAGCAAACAAAAATGAAAAATATGTAAGTTTCGAAAGAAGTCTTTTTTGACTCGCATCTTGCCCAGACTCCTTACAGATGCTGAGGAAGACACTGTATGCTCTAATGAGCTGGTATGGGTGCCGGCTCACGCAGAGAACCCAGGGAACGAGGTGGCTCACCTATATGCTCGAGGATTCGTCGGTCGAGCGGCGGTACCCGCTTCTGATTCAGGAAACCCTGGTGAAGCCTTGACATCTTACCATGACATCACACAGTATATTACCGTCTTTCGAGGCAGTCAAAACCACCCTCACACTACGAGCTAACTATTCTTATTTGCCCTGCCTTAGAATATGCCAACATAATATGGTGTCCCCACCAACAACACCTAATAGACAAAATTGAACGCGTTCAGAAATTAGCTGCACGGTTCATCTACTCTAATTATTCGCGGCATTCAAGTGTTCCCGACCTAATCCATAGAGTGAATCTTCAGCCACTTTCCAAACAAAGAATAATTTCTAGGTTAAAATTCCTTTACTTACTTTATCATGGTCATTTTAAGATACCGTGCAATCTGTACTTACAGGACCCATTTAAACACTCACTCAGGACAAACCATAACGAGGTCATTTTTCAACCTGCTAGTCGTGTCAATACACATAAGTATTCTTTATTACCAATGGCCATTAGTTTTTGGATTAGGTTACCAGTCAATGCTGTGAATTGTTCTACGCTAGAATCTTTTGTCAACTGTCTAGAAGAGATTGATTTTTCTAAAAATGTATACATGTGAATCATGAAGTATCCTATGTGTATCAATACTTTCTTTTTTTTTTTCTTTTGTGGAGCGTTATTGTGTTTCATGTTACCTCTATGTATCCACTCCTGCATGGGCCCGGTTAGGGCGTGCAGTATGTACAAAAAATAAATAAAAATAAAAGCGCCAGGAGGTTATCAGGTGCCACTTGCAAACACATTCATTCTTGTGCCCATACATTTATGCACGTATTTACCCCAACACAATTGATCCGCATTGCTTGTTGTGGCTCAATAGCCACTCACATTCCCTGGGCCTGCAAGGAAGATCCCCCTCTCTCGATCTCCTAGCCACTCCCTCACCAGAGGGGTGGGAGGCAGTTCTAACCTCCACCAACCTGCCCGTTCAGCTCCAGGCTGTACAAAGGGCAGAGGAGGTGGCCACGGGATTAAGCCTAGCTGATAACCTGCCTCCTTAAGTCTGATGACAATGAAGTTGTGTTCTCTCTTCTCCGCCTAAACGCGTCCTTTTGCAAAAATTCCAGCGTCAACAACAGGGAGTGAAAAATAAGCATTGTCTATGAGCAAAAATCTAGGTCCATGCAAGTAAATCGATGATCATAATATTTGGTTATAGGGTGAATTGAATTTAGGTCTTCTGTGTGTTCCACCACTGAGCTATGCCACTGTTTGGAACTGCTTTGTTTAAAAAAAAAAGAGCCTTACATGAATGTCATGTAGTGCAAGGAGTTACATGGGTGGAGCGTCAAATCAAACCTGATGTGCAAGCATGTTAATTGTACAATAAGGGGGCAGTTTAAAGGCCCATTCATTACAAAGTATTTAATCTACATCAGTCAAAGAATCGACAAAGTGAGCAGCCGTGCATCTGCCTTACTGATGCGTAGTGGGTATCTTGCACAAGTGGAAAAATTACGGCATATTGGTCAACTGTACTTGCAGCCAGCAGTCTAGGATAGCTTTAAATGACCAATCTGACTAGCACAGGTGTTCCTTTCCTTGCGCCATGGTTCTGGTGTTCTCTGAGAAATGAAACCAGGCGAGTGGTTGAGAAGAACTTTCGCTATAGCATTCGACTCTTCAAGGTGAATTTCGGGTGTCTTCAAACATTTTTTGTTGACATTGCTGTGAAGTCCGAACAGCAAGATCTGCTGATGCCAGCAACATGCACACTCAGCTATGGTTCTTGACGGCCATAACACTTACATGGTGGCACTGCTTGTGAAAACTTGTATATAGAACTGCCTGCGCCTTTGGTAGAAAAAGCAACTGCCTTGATGGTGTTGGAACTCGGTGTACAGATGACTTGTAATTTGTATATAGAACTGCCTGCACCTTTGGTAGAAAAAGCAACTGCCTTGATGATGTTGGAACTGGGTGTACAGATGACTTGTAATTTGATGTAATCATGGCTCGATGGCATTTGTTTCCAGATGGCCTTTGGAGTAACAGGGAGGTGGCTGTTAAGGTGATGATGAAACAGCATTAATAATGATGACACCATTACTTTTCTTGCGAATGCAGAAGAAAGAGAAGCGGATGCAGCACTCGCTGAAAGAAACAGAGTTCCTGCGACTGAAGCGTTCGCGACTAGGTGTTGAAGACTTTGAGCCACTCAAGGTGATTGGTCGGGGCGCATTTGGTGAGGTCCGGTTGGTCCAGAAGCGCGACACGGGCCACGTCTATGCCATGAAGATACTTCGCAAAGCTGATATGCTTGAAAAAGAACAGGTGAGTGCCGCATTGGTATTTGGTAAACACTATGTCGCTTTATTTTGCCAGCTTAGACGATCACTGTGCCAGTAATTGCGAGGCTTGTGTCGTCACAATGACATGGTTTGTGTTTTTGTCGAGCTTTCACCTACTGCAGCTTGTTTTGTGCTTTTTCCCAAGTGCTGAATGCTAGAGCACCTTGCTGTTTGCTGATGCTTGGTCAGCTTGACGGTGTGTATTTTCTTTTCACAACAATACCATGTCAGGCACTGCAAGCTAATTGTTTGCTAAGATACTAGGTAGCTTAGGTTGTATTGAATGTGGCCTTGGTGAAGATATTGCGGCTAAGCAAATAAGAATCTCTCAGTATCAGAGCTTTTTAAAGACCTTTTTTTTCGTTTCACAAGACGTGGTGTGTTGTCTTATTGTGATAGCAATTATCTGAACCCTCAAGAAACATTTCTGCTGCCAGGATGATGTCCTGCATGAAGTCCAAATCGATATCTTCACCCTTTGCATCGTATAATCAGTGCGTGAGTGAAGGCGCACAAGCTGTGCTAACAAACCCAGCGCGAGCAGAGGTGAAATGTGCCGGCAGTTGCCATCACATGATAGGTGCCCGAGAGGTAGTTGCGTGCCTTCAACAGGAAACCAGTGCTTTCATGACTAGCTGGACAAGCTTGCTTGCGTACACCGATCTCTATAGAAGATCTTTGCATGCGTTATCACTGCGATGTTCGCGTTAGAACCGCATGAAGGTTATTTCATTGGCTGCAGTATTTCTTTGCACCATTTTTTTTCTCTTCAACAGAAATGGGAGTGCATTTGAGTGTTCTTGAAGAAAATGAAATTGGCTACTCACCAAGAATGAAGCCTGGAGTGGTGATGTGCACGAATAGTTCTGAACGCAAAATAGTGTTCCCCTCATCATGAAAGAGCTGTGTTGGGACTTGTGTATACCATTTGCATGCAGTTTGGCCATGGCATGTAACTTAGACAACCTATAATGCAGTGTCACCACTCATTGCATGAAAATGTAAATAATAAATTTAAGAGAAGAGGATGCACTCTCTGCACATGAGAGAATGATGAGTGGTGCGAGGTGAGCCTCTTGCGTACCTCACTAACAGGGCACTTGAGTTTCTCCCAGCTGTGCCAGTGATGAACTGGTTTGAGGACTCATTTTGACTTGCTAGACAGTGGAATCGTTTCACTTTGCCCTGCCATGCCAAGTAGCCCCCGTGGAAGCACTTGTAAATGTTATCCCTAGACAACAGAAGGGATAGAAGTGCTGCTCCAATTGCTCCAAACTGCTCCAAAAGAGAAATGCTGCTCTAAAGTGCAATATTATAACGAACAAATACAACGCTGGAAGCTAAAACAGCTATTTATTCATGGCGAACTTGTGCCGTCAACTAAACACACAAGGATTGTCCTGAGCTCGCTAGAGAAAACCTCGTCAACCTCTTCTTTTGCATCTCCCCGCGTGCCGCTCCTTCGAAAACTGCCAGCCTTCTTTTTCCAGCGCGTGGTGTGGTGACACGTGCAGCCAGCGTTGCATGGCGCATTTATAGCTTGGCGCGTTTGGCTTGTCCGTTGGTGTGGCAAAATTCATAGCAGCAGGAAGCGTTGCAAGACTTCAGCAGGTGCCTAACAACATGCGGCATTAGTCCCCCTCCCGAAACGCATCGTCCCGATGCGTACGCTGACGTCGAACAGTTTTCTACAGCAGTATTGATGTGATGCTGGAGCACATTTATCAGTTGTCTCGTTTAGTGCCTTTCGTAGTACGGTTTCATTCGTACTACATGTACGACTTCTGGGTGATTCCTGCATCGGGTTGAGCACACTTGACCTTCAGGAATTACTTTGTAGTTTAGCGTGCCTAACCGGCGAAGTACTTTGTAAGGGCCGAAATAGCGCCGCATCAGTTTTTCCGAAAGCCAGGTGCGCGTACAGGCGTCCACACCCACACCTTGTCTACGTGGTTGTACTGTACGTCTCTCCGCTTGAGATTATAGCGACTTGCGTCGGAGCTTTGTTGTAAAATGATACGATGTCTTGCCAATTGCTGTGCCTCTTCTGCCCTTTGTATGAAGTTGCCGATGTGCGGGTCACTCTCATTCGAATCGTTGACAGTTAACATCGCGTCTAAGGTCGTTGTGACCGCCCGACCATAAACAAGTTGAAATGGCGTGAAGTGTGTCGTTTCTTGTACTGCGGTATTGTACGCAAATGTAGTATAAGGCAAAATACTGTCCCATGTCTGGTGCTCAACAGTCCACATACATCGAGATCATGTCGGCGAGAGTTCTGTTGAGTCTTTCGGTTGATCCGTTTGTTTGTGGATGGTATGCTGTAGTCCTTCTATGGTCGGTGTGGGTGAGCTTCATAACAGCCTGCATCAAACGGGCTGTAAATGCTGTTCCTTTGTCTGTAATGACAACCTGCAGTGCGCCATGTCGTAGTACAATCTGAGTGACGAAAAACTGAGCTACTTCGTTTGCTGTTCCCTTTGCGAGAGGTGATGTCTTAGCATATCGAGTCATGTAGTCTGTTGCTACAACAATCCAGCGCTTTCCCAATGAAGAGGGAGGAAATGGACCAAGCAAATCCATTCCCACTTGCTGAAATGGCCCTTTTGGTGGCTCTATCGGTTGCAACAGACCCGCTGGTTTCGATGGTGGTATTTTGCGTCTTTGGCAATCCTGGCATGACTTGACATAATGGTGCACCGAATCCCTTAATTTTGGCCAATAATACTTCCGGCGAATTCTGGCCAAAGTGCGACTACTACCCATATGGCCAGCCGATGGGTCGTCATGACACGCTTTTAAGATTTCTGCTCGCAGTGATGATGGTGCAAGAAGCAGAAACGTTTCACCGCTGTTTTCGAAGTTGTGCTTGTATAGGACGTCGTTCCAGAGGACATAGGATGTTAATCCACGGTCGAAAACCCGTGGTACCTTAATTTGGTGACCCTCCAAGTAATGGATGAGCGGGCGTAGTTCCGGGTCCATTCGCTGAAGACGAGCCATCTCCGACACATTCAGAACTCCAAGAAATGGGATGTCTTGTTCTTGGTAAGATGATGGAGACTCAACAGGTGCGCGAGGCAGGCAATCCGCGTCGTTGTGCTTGAGACTGGACTTGTAGACCACAGTGATGTCATGTTCCTGCAGATGCAGGCTCCATCTAGCAAGTCTTCCGGAAGGGTCCTTGATATTTGCCAGCCAACACAATGAATGGTGATCACTGATTGCTCGAAACGGTCTCCTGTAGAAGTATGGGCGAAACTTGCTGATGGCCTATATAACTGCGAGACACTCTTCCTCTGTCGCTGAGTAATTGGACTCAGCATTCGATAGAGTTCGGCTTGCGTAAGCGATGACCTTTTCTTCTCAATTCTGCCTCTGAACGAGGATGGCACCCAGACCAACGTTACTCGCGTCGCTATGTATGTCTGTATCGGCCTCTTCATCAAAATGGGCAAGTATTGGAGGAGAGTGCAAACGGCGTCGCAACTCTGAGAAAGCTTCTTCTTGTTCTTCCCGCCAAGAGAATGCTACACTTTCTTTTGTTAGCCATGTTAAAGGCTCAGCGACCTTAGCAAAGTTTTCAACAAAGCGTCTGTAGTAGGCACATAGTCCTAGGAATCGTCTGACAGCCTTTTTGTCTTGCGGTTTCGGAAAATTTTCAACTGCTGCAATCTTTTCCGGGTCACGGCGGACGCCTTCCGCACTAACTATGTGCCCGAGGAACCGAAGCTGACGAAATCCAAAGTGACACTTTTCCGGTTTGATGGTCAGTGCTGCCACGCGAATAGCACCCAGTACCATTCTCAGTCGGTGGATGTGCTGCTCGAAGGTAGAAGAAAAAACCACTACATCGTCGAGGTAGACGAGACACGATTGCCACTTGAGTCCGGAGTGCACAGTGTCCATCATTCTCTGGAAGATAGCGGGAGCAGAGCACAAACCGAAAGGGAGCACTTCAAACTCGTATAATCCGTCTGGGGTCACAAATGCCGTCTTCTCGCGATCTCGTTCATCAACCTCGATCTGCCAATATCCAATGATGAAAAGAAGTGAGCATTGCGTAACTTATCCAAGGCATCATCGATGCGCGGAAGTGGGTAAACATCACGCTTTGTGACTTGGTTCAGCTTTCTGTAGTCAATGCAAAATCGCAGAGTGTTGTCCTTCTTTTTGACTAGCACTACCGGCGATGCCCACGGACTGTTGGATGGCTGGATTACGTCATCGTTGAGCATTTCCTGCACTTGGTTCTTGATGGCTTCTCTTTCTTTTGGCGCTACTCGGTATGGGCGCTGGTGCACAGGTCTCACGTGTTCTTCGACCACGATGCGGTGCTTTGCGACGGGAGTACGTCCGACTTTTGACGAGGTCGACAAGCACTCGGCGAACTCTCTGATGAGGTCAGTAATCTGTTGTTTCTGAGATAACGAGAGCTCTCGGTCAATGTCTACTGATTGGAGTATACTGATTGGAGTACGTTATCTACTGTCTCTGAAGCTTTATCAAGAGTGCAAACATGTGAGACTTGCACATACTCAGCAAGCCATGCTACGGATGTTCCTTTCGCGATATGCTGCAGCTCATTTCCAAAGTTAGTTAATAAGACATGCGCACATCCATCACGAAGGCTCACCAGGCCTCTTGCCACGCATAGTCTTTTTTCTAGTAGCAGTCCGATGTTTCCGTCCGCTAATCCGTCACAGTCACGGAGAACTTCACTCCTCACAAGAACGGTCACTCTGGAACGTGGCGGCACAGTTACGTCTTCGTGCACAATGCGAAGAGGAAGGACGATTGGTTTCTCCGCATGACAGATGGCGACGGCATTCTTTGTAGATAACGAAGCCTGGGACTCTTGCAAGTCGATGACTGCATTGTTTGTTTGCAAGAAGTCCATGCCTATAATCGGTTCACGGGAGCATTCAGGAAGCACTATAAAGCTGCCGACATACACGAATCCTCTTATTCCTGTCCTTGTGG